CGTCCATCGCCGCTTGCGGCTTTAATTTTTATTTTTTTAATTAAACTGACACAAGGTGTGGACTGAATTTTTTTTTTAAAGAGCAACATGTTTCGGTGTTTTAACTCGAGCACAGCAACAGTTGCAGGGATTTATCCGCCTCTTTTTTACGTTTTATGTTTTAATCTCAGTTTCACTTCCGGCTCAGCAGGAGGCGCTGCAGCCGTAGACACGATCCAACATGGCCGACAGAAGCTGATGGACGGCGAAAGTTAGCGATGAGCGTTGGTATAAAACCTGCATTCCTGCTCGTGTTTGATGTAGAAATTTGGACTTTGACGTGCGCCGTGACTGTATTTTTACATCCTGAAACGTGCCACACATGAGCTGGAGGCTAAAGTTGAGTTTGTTCGTCTCCAAAGGCCTTAAACCGGGCGTTAGCCCGCAGCGTTAGCCACGTTAGCAGCCCAACCAGCGCCTGCTTTTGTTTTTGTCAGGAGGAGACGTTTCTGCGCCAGAGGGCTCAACCTGTGAAGCCTTTTTGCTTGTTTTTTTTGTTAACTTCGCCTTAATTCTGAAGAGCATTTATTTGTAAAGTGGTTTGTGTAGCTAACAGATTAACTCCGGAGCTTTTCGTATTGTACCGCGGGTGGGGTTCAGCTGGACTGAGTCGGCCAACTCCTCAACAAAGCCATACTTCCTACGAAGCCGACACGTACTCGCTTTGAGCCGCCGGACTGTGTTTTGAATAATAACACCACCGGGAACTATGGATTCTAGACGCGCACACGATAAACCTCATTCGAGCGGCGGCAACAGCGGCGACTCCAGCCCCGCGTCCCCCTCCGGCAGCCCCGCGCAGCCTTCGAGCGCCGCCCCGCTGCCGGCGGGCAACGTGTTCGCCAACGACGGCAGCTTCATGGAGATGTTCAAGAAGAAGATGGAGGAGGAGGAGAGGAGGAAAAAGGAGTCGCGGCAAACAGGTGGAGATGCCAGAGCCACCGAGCAAGGACAGAGCCCAGTGGAAAAGAAGGCCCCTCCCGTGACGAGCTTTGTAAGGGGTTTGGCAGTTGTAAGATGAGCTAGCAGTAGTTGAGTCCACATGAAGCACCATGCACAGTCTTACTCTGACTGGCACTTGAGTTATTGCTTTGTGAAATAATGACCAACGTGTGCCTTTTGATTGCCAGTAGCATTTCACACAGTTATCGTGTTGTCATTGAGTTATGTTGTGAACACACATGTGTAACAAATCAGCTGAGAACAGACTAGGGATGCTCCTCACTCATGATGGTTTCGCTGGTGGTGCGACAGGAGTCTAAATGTAGACCTTCTGCTCTGGTGTAGTCTCCTTCATTGGCAATCCACCTACAAGGGCTCCTGTAACGGTTTCAGTCTTCTATCCCCTAACCCAGGTGGGGAAGCGCAGAGGCGGTGTGTTCCTAAAGACCGGCATTGTTGCCAAGAAGCAGAAACAGGACACAGAAGTAAGTGGGATCGGTGACGTCGACCCGGTTCTGTGTGCTCCTGACTCTCTGACTAACCTTTGCTTCCTCTCCCCCGCAGGCTGAGCCAGGCCGGAGCGATGCTTGGTCAAAGTACATGGCTGAGGTGAAAAAGTACAAAGCCCACCAGTGTGGTGACGACGATAAAACCAGGCCTCTGGTCAAGTAGGCTCCGAAAGGGGGGACATGAGGCGACAGTGCTATGAGGGGAAACCCACCTGGGAGAAGCTCCGGCCAGTCCTGTCCTTCTCATACTGCCAGCTCAAGTTATCCTTCACTTTTAAGTCTCTCACAAACTGCTTAGATTGACTCACCCTTCTTCCTCTTTTTTTTTTTTTTTTAAATTGTTTTTGTCTTGCTTGTCATTCGTTGGACTCTGGTAATTTGATCTGGTTTCAAAAGGTGTTTCATAAACTTGGCATTGATTGTTAAGTATCTTCAAATTTGTCTTGTCTGGTTCATGTTTGGGTTCATTGATAATTTAAACTGATTTAAAAGTCAAATCCAGGTTTTAATTAAATCGACACTGCCCAGTAACGTGTTGTACCTCAGTGTTGGTTAACGTGAGATGTGTGTGTTGCAGGTAAACATGGTTCTTCATACTTGAAGCATCAGTCTCACTTGACTTTCTTTAACAAAAAAAAAAACTCCTGAAGGATTTCCAACTTGCATCAAATTCCTCCGCTCAAGGGAAAGATTTTAATTAAAAGTCAGCTTGAGTTCTATACAGAAAAGAATTCCTCCAAGAATTCAAGTACAATGAAAATGTGTACAGCTCTCATTAAAAAAAAAAAAAAAAAGAAGCTCAAATTCAACAATTTGCAGTTTACATTTCTTACAGGTATCAGTGATAATTACATGATGATAAAAACAGCACCGAATAGACACACTGACCATGCATCAGAGAGGGAGACATCATACTAAAGGCACACAGTCCCGCCAACCAATCAGGTTCAGACCCTCACACACACACACTCACACACACACACACACAGCTATAAATCCCACTCATTCGTCCTCCCTGTCCACAGTGATATAGGTCTATCTTGTAAACATTGACAGTTGTCTTTTCATTTAACAGTTCTATGAAGAATAGTACTGAAAAGTTATCAAATTGTTGTTTAAAAAAAGTTATATTGAGCTGTGGTATTCATGAAAGTTGAGCTGAAAAGTTCTCACGATGAAGCGATGCTCAGTGTGTGTTTCCTCTTGTGTCCGGTCTGTCTTGTCGCTCGAAAGCCGCGATCCGTCCTGATTTGTCCGCCGGGCGATGAAGTCCGGCTGGATCATAGAGTCTTCCTCTTAGCGTCCCCTCCCTGGCTTTGACTGACATCTGGACGGGAACAAGGACAGCACTTGAGAGCATTGCTCGACAAAATGCGTCTTGAGATGGGACGGCTGCTAAAATAACTACACAAAGGGCATGCTGCCACCAACAGATGAGCAGAGAACAGAACAGGACCAGATGGAAAAAAGGACAACCCGAGACGGAGAACACCAGACACTCCAAAGGAGAAAAGAAAGCCGGGAGAAGAGGAGGAGGAGGAATGGAGCAGGCGTTTGAGGTGGAGGGAGGGTCAGATTTTACCTGAGAAAGCGAGCTGCAAGTGAGGAGGCAGAGCAACCTGAGACCCTGACTGGAGACTCTTATACAGATCTGAGGAGACAGGACAGGGCAACAAGAAACAAGGAGGGCGGGAGGAACAAATACCAACAGAACGGGGGAGGTGAGGGGGGGGGAGAAAGAGGAGAAAAGGGAGGAGCAAGAGGAGGGCATGGAGGCAGAAGACAGCCAGACAGGAGGGGTAAAGAGAAGGCCAGGTGAGTGGCAGGTGGGGAAGTGACCGATACAGGATCGGTGGAAGAAAAAGGGGAGATTTTGGGAAATGAAGCAAACAAAATGGAATAATGTCGTACATTAATTACAGTAAGCTTACACACGATATGGTGATAAAACAAATGAGGCTCTAACATAGAACACAAAACGAGGCCTAACACAGGAACACTCAGACAACAGCAGAGCAACACACACGGTGTCCAACGTGTTCAAATGTTAAAACTAAATCCAACTAAAGCTCTTTTTTTGTCCACATCATATTATTATTTGTGTACCTGCACGGTGCCTTATTTAAATACATCTGTGGCCTGTGTGCGTCACTCACTCTGCGTCAGGGTGGAGAACGGTGCATTGCTACTGGCTGCGGAGCTGCTGGCTGCCGTGCTGGAGCCGCCGGTGCCCAGTGAAGGCAGGTTTAGCAGCGTGGGGTACTGGAAGGGCAGGGACACAGGCACCAGGCCCCCCAGCATCCCGAAGCCCAGGGGAAGCGACGAGGCCGAGCTGAGCAGACCGCCGCTTCCCGCCGTGGAGACCTGAGGAGACAACGTGTGTTATCTAATTACATGTCAGGAGGAATATTGAAGGTGAAGGAAGCAGCAGTTACTCTTGAAACACAGATCCAGGATCACATCTTGATGATGTCTTACTCTCATACAAAACTATTTATGTTGTTTTTTACAGGTTACCCAAATCCAAAAATATTTCATGACTCAGCAGAGTGTCTCGCCATAATGATCTACTGAACCTCCTGCAGTAACTCTTAACGGGAAAGAGCTTCATGACACCGTTAGGGTTGGATATTAGTTGTATTTTAGTAGCTCTCAGTTCTGATTCCTTGAGGGCAGTGTGGTTTGGGTTACCATAAAATCCTGCTTTTACATGAACGTATGAGTAATAACGTCCTGATTTACTGACTAGAACAGTCACACAAGAAGTTCTTCGGCGTGTTTAGTCATATAAAGTGAGTCCTTCCTCCACTGTTGCCCATCAGAGTAAACAAACATCCATCCGTCATCTATACACTGTTTAATCCTCACTAGGGTCGCGGGGGGCTGGAGTCTATCCCAGCTGACTCAGGGTGAAGGAAGGCATTCACACATACGGACAATTTAGAATCACCAATTAACCTCAACATGTTTCTAGACCTTGTGGGAGGAAGCCGGAGAACCCGGAGAGAACCCACGCTGCACGGGGAGAACATGGAGACTCAACGCAGAAAGAACCCGAGTGTCCTGACTGGCAGCGGTGCTAACCACCGAGCAGCCGCCTTGCAGCCCGTAAACAAACATTTCAATCAATTAATATAGTTGCTGTTTTCTTCAAACCAGTGATGTTACACAACCTGACAGCACATCCACTTCACGAAGGTGGTAGACTAGTAGGTTTGTAGTGTGAGAAACGCAGTAGCAAGTTGTTGCAGTGACAGCAAAGTGTTGCTAAATGGGCACTAAAGTCACTTTAGTCAGCTGTAGTAAGCCTCCATAAGCACATTACTTACTGACAGTGTGATTTGTGTTTGTAAAAAAGAAAGCGTCCTCCTGCCTTCTTCACAGCAGAGTGGTGTAAAACACTGGATAAAAGTTATCAGCAGAAACCAGAAGCTAGATAAAGTAATTAACGATAGCAGCAATGATTTCTGGGCTCTTTTCATGTTTACTTCAGTCCAGTCCCGTTTCTTGTGCAACAATTTGCAGCAGCGGTTGTTAAATTTTACTGACTGTTGCAAGACGATTTGTTTGTGCTGTCCGCCTGCTAATCTAACAGCTCAGCAACAGTTGAGTGGATTAACGGAGAATAATGCCCCACACGCGACTTACTGAGACAAAGGAGATAAAGAAGCCACAGAGGCGTTCGACTCATTCAGCTGACGGCGCAGAAGGATAGTCGTAGATATATTTACTGCTGTGAGTGACATTTGTTTAGCTGCTAATGAGTAGAATCAGAACTTGTAGAGCCGGTTCCCGATGCCCAACATGTGCTGAATAATGATTGAAGGAGACGCTGCAGGCAGCACAAACCTGTGGCAACTGAGAAGAGACAGATGACGACGGGACAGACGCGACTGTCTTGGCCCCCTGAGGTGTCCCGCCCCCGGGCCTCTGACGCTGGCCTGGGGTAACAGAGGCCGTTGTGGGGGAGGCACTGGATCCTGAATGCTTGCTTATGGATGAGGTGTTAATAAGGCTGGTGTTGGTGGTACTGTTGTTGTTGGGGGGCTTCTGGCTGCCTGGAGGAGTGTAGCTGCCTTGCCCCGGCTTGGTTGCTCCTCCTTGGGCACCTGAGAACTGCGGGCGGAACCCTGCTGGGTTTTTGGGAGGGTACTGGTGTATGGAGGGGGCTGCCTGAGACCTGGGAGAGATTGAAGGTGAGGCTGAAGTGGCGGTGGTGACGACGGGGTTGGGGGTGCGCGGGGTGAGCTTGACGATGGGCGGGATGCTGCTGTGGGTGGACTTGGTGAGGGTGGCGTGCATAGGGGTGATGAAGTTGGACTGCGGCTGTGGCTGAACGGTGGGGAGCGTCTGGGACAGGGAGGGGGAGGATTTACTCTGAGGGGTCTGGGGCAGGCGGGGCGTCAGGAAGGTTTTGGGAGTCATGAAGGAGGATGATGAGAGGGCGTGTGGCCTGGACTGAGGCGATGTGATGATGAGAGTGTCACCGCTGTTGGCTTTATTATTATTGCTGCCTTTGAGGAGGCCAGAAGGGGGAGTGGAGACCCCCGTCTTTGATCCTGGGGCCACTAGCGGAGACGCAGTGGGTGGTGGACGTGGCTTAGGAGGGGACACTGAGGCAGGCATGTTGGCTTTAGTCACACCCACACCCAAAGGTCTCTGAGTGTTCAACACTGAGTGTCTGTGCGCCTGCGCAGTGCCCTTAACAACCCCCATCGCATCCACCCTCACTGAGGGCAGAGGAGAGGGCGTGATGGAGGAAGGCCGAGACACGGAGGTGGAGGAAGACGAAGAGGTAGAGATGTAGTGAGGTGCATTGGAGCTGGGAGTGCTGACAGAGTTCTTTTTCTGATGCTGGATGAGCGGCGAGGGGTGGAGGGCGGAGGGGTTGGCGACAGTCTTGGGTCCGTCGGGGGACGGGGGGCTGTCCCCCTGAGCCAGGCCCTTGGCTGCGTTGCCGAGGATGGCCAGGGCCTGAGAGATCGAGTCCAAGGAGGGAGCCTCGTCGAGGGAATCGAGGCATATGGGCTCCGCCGGTGACTGAGGCGGTCGCTTGGCAACCTGGGCAGCAGGGGAGGGAGTGGCTCCCGCTGACGGCGTGGACCGCTGAACCCACACAGTCTCCTGCAAGCACACATGACACAAAACACAACGGTTACACAAACTACTGAACAAGCCATCTGTATTGTAGTGATGATAAAGGATAAGTTCACAGTTTTGTTTAATTTTTACAAGCTAATCCGAAAACATCATATGACACATCCATATGTACACATACAGATGTTTTAGTCACTATTTCTACCTTCTTTTATGGCTATTAAGAGATTCGTCTCTACATCCATTTCAATGTAGATTGTCCTTTTAGATACTATGCGACATGCACTGTGCTCACTACTGGGTCGCACACATCCACAGGTATTCTTTAAAACAGCTGTAT